TCCTTTTATATTCTTTTGATTTTTTTAAGGGTTTGTACAGCACTGTTTTCTGCAAAATTAGCGAGCCCACTTCAACTAGAAAGCCTGTTAACAGACAGCATGTCTGCTTGTTTGTTGTTACCCTTCAGGTAACGGAAGTTTGCGGCACTTATTCACTCCACTGAGCTCTTTTGTTACGCTACCCTCAATGACTGCCCCTCCTCTGGGAACAGTCAGTAGGGGCTTGTTTTTCTGTGAATGGAGTTAGCAGCATTTCATTCATAAAATGGAGGGCTGAAAGACTAGAATTCCCAGCTGGAATTTCTGTGGTGTAGTATTTCACCAGACGCTTCCTCTATAAGGGCACATGACTTCACCAGGGTTAAATGAGCATGCCCAGTGAAACTGGAGACAGTGCTAAACATCTCAGCTCCTAAAAGACTTGGCCAGATGTTAGTTTGGCGACAGTCTGGTGGAGTGCATTTGCTGCGATTTTTTTAAAAAACTTTTTTAAAGTGACATTTTTTTTACTAAAACTTGCTCCTACCCTCTCCCGAGGGTGCTTGCTTTTGCTGGGATACATTCCAGAGATGCCAGCCTGCCTCAGGCACTATATGCAAATGACCATTCAATGTGCATGAGTCTAGACGGTGGGTGGCTAAAGGCTAATCATTCTCAGGAGGCATTGTAGCTGAACTCGAGTTACATTTTATGTGCCATCCAGTGAATCCTGCAGTTAGGATGGAAACCCCACCTTAATTTTTCCTCCTTTGTTTAGAGAAGTTTGAAGCCAAATTTTGTATCCCTTTGCAATCATCATTTAAAGGGTTTGGAGGGGAACTTGGCTGGGGATGAGAGGAGCAGATAATTCAAACAGATGAAGAATTCCTCTCCTTTCTTAGTCCGTGTTGTTGCAACTGGTGCCAGATGAGCAGCAGTTTGGATTCTGTAACTACCAGCTAAATCTCAGGGCTGAAGACTGATTGGTCATCCAGTGGTGTCAATACTGATTTAGCCAGTGGCCTTGGCTGCACTGAATATCTGTGGTAAGGAGTATTAATAAGATCTGGGCGGGCAGCAGGGCATCCTGTAGGCCAGAGCCTGATGATGCTCACTAACCTATTCACTTGTATGCTTTCACATTTGGCTTTTATTTGATCATTCAATGTAGGCATTTATTACACATCCCTAACGGACCTTGATAAGTTGGTGGTGACCTGTTGTCTTAAACTGTGTAATCCATCTGGTGTGGGCCCACACCATTGCTGGAAAAGTGTTTGTGTGAGCGTGCACGCGTGTGTGTGTGTTTGGATTACCTTGGACCTCCCCTTGCCTGACTCTGTCAGATGCTGCAGTCTGTCCAACTATTAACTGTGTTGGATCTACATGTAGGAATGCACCATTGCAAAATGTGTCACATCATTGTCAGTGTTTGGTGGGTGGTGATGGTGGGGAACCTTGTCTTGTGCGTCAATTTCTGCCGTCTAATGTGGTGGCCTGGCAAACGAGCATGTATCCAGGATAAACCTGGACTCTCATGCCTTGTTTAATGCATCTGCAAAATTCTTTCATATTTTTAAAAGTAAAAATGCTTTAAACAGTCATCTTTCCCACTCCCTCCTGTGTTCCCAAAATAGAAACAGTCATAAGAGTTTTTACCTTCCTGAGTCATGGGGTAATGTGACCAGTACTGGGACCCTTGCTGTGATCAAATGAGAGAATTGTGCAAATGGAACGCTCCCCAGACTTGTATATGAAAGAGACTGGTGGTCTAGTTGTGTGATGACTAAGCTGCAATGTTCTACAATTATATCTCAGTACCCGTTATTTATTGTAATGATCTACAAATTCTCTCTGCAATTCAGCACAGGGTATTTTTTTTTGTTTGATTTGTGGTCAGTGTTGTGCCTTCAGTGGAAAAAAAATCATGATGAATGGTGAGCTATTTGTGGGGAATTTCCTATTGTGTGACCTTTTACATTGAATAGATTCCCTTTTATGGTCTGGGTTGATTGATACGTAAACTGTTTGTACACTTGATTTAGCCAGAGACTGACTTTATTTTCACAGCTTTATTAACCTTTTAATGACTGCAAGGATCTATTTTGTTGATCACTGTGTACTCCAATTCCTCAAATGGAAAGTATGAGCACCAGTGGTAACTGTGTCTCTAACTGTTATGATCTGAGGTTTGATTGCTACTTAGAAAGCTGATGTCAATCAGGAATAGAGGGTGATGCACATTATCTGTCTGCATCACTTAAATTAATTAGCTACGTCACGTTTAAGTATGAGTTCATTAAGAAGGCCATTGGAGAGAGTGTGTGCGTATGTGTGTATATGAGTCAATCTAAGGTTCTACTGTGCTGCCCTTGCCTAGCCAGCTCGAATGGTCCATCACCATTCACATTTTCATGCTGCAATCTACAGATCACTACCAGGACAATGATACCAATTCATTAACAAATTAGCCACACCCAAACATACCCCAAACATACCTTCCAGGTGAAGCAACACTTCACCTGCACTTCCCAGAATCTGGTCTACTGCATTCGCTCTTCTACACTGGGGAAACGAAGTGTAGACTTGGCGACCACTTCGCAGAATATCTATGGTCTGCTCGCAAAAAAGACCCTGAACTACCTGTTGCCTGCCACTTCAACGCACCACCCTGTTCCCTGGCCAACATCTCCGTCTCTGGCTTGCTACAGTGTTCCAATGAAGCCCAATGCAAGCTGGAGGAACAACACCTCATTTTCCGCTTGGGGACCCTACAGCCCTCTGGACTCAATATTGAGTTTAATAATTTTAGGGCCTAAACACTCCCATGTCCCAGCTCCCCACCCCACACACCAGGCCTTGTTACCACATAGCCTGCCACTACACACCCCCTGTTGTTAGTCACTAACAGTCCCCATTAACAACTATTCACCCTCCCAGCCTGATCGTTAGCAACTCCTTTGTCTGTCCAATTGTCTTTCGCTCTCTTTGGGCTCTATCCTATCGTTTACTCCCTACCCACCCAACTCCCTATTTTCTGCATATCAACGGATGTTTTCCCAGCCACCATCAGTTCTGAGGAAGGGTCACCGGACCCAAAACGTTAACTCTGTTTTCTCCTTCACAGATGCTGCCAGACCTGCTGGGCTTTTCCAGCAACTTTGTTTTTGTTCCTGATTTACAGCATCCGCAGTTCTTTTGGTTTTTATTCAATGATAAAGACAGAGATGTTTTTATTTGGTTTACTCAAGAAATACAGAATATTTTTATAAGTAAAATATGTCAGCTGCTGAAAATTTGAAATAAAAACAAAAGTGCTGAAGAAATTCCATGGATCTGGCAGCACCAGTGGAGAGAGGAACAATTGACATTTTGAGCCTGTGACAATTTTTCAGAAAATGTGAGCCTCAAGAGTCATGTTAGACTCAACAGTAACTGTTTGTCTCTGTTTCTCCTCTGATAATTCCAGACCTGCTGAGTTTCTGCGGCACCTTTTTAATATGATTACACTGTCTCCCTTCTACCTATTTTGTTTCTAGTAACATTTACGCACCTACCTCAGGGAGCTGTTGATTTTGTTGGGTTAGCGTTCTACAAGCCATTCATGCCAGGGCCCTTTTCAATTCATCACATGGGACTAGATATTGAGAGTGATTACAAGCTGCTCATTTTCATGGGGCATCACCACAAAGCCTGATGTGATGTGTGCATGTATGGGTCACTGGCTAATAACTGGGCAAGTCTTGATTTAGTTCTCCCATTCCCTAACCAAAGGACATTGAAGTCCATTCTAAATACCCCTATTGCTGTAGCAAATGGAGATTGGTTCAAATGGAAAAATCTTTTTTTGGTCAGTACAGCTTGTACTTTTTGTCATAGCTAGCTGACTCAACAAATTAGATTCTTGTTTGATTTTTTGCATAAATAAAACATCATAAATAAGCAGGAATGGTCAAATGTAAAACAATAATGATTACGGAAGGTGTTAGTGTCCAGGGAATGGAAAGAGGCTGTGGTTCCATTGGCCAGTTCGCACTAGGGATGGAAGCGTTTTCTTCTCATTCCAGAACATTCAAACTTTTGACTGATTTCTGACTGCAGCACAATCCCAATGTCCAGTTGCCTTGTGGTTGCGTAATATGAATGTGCCTATGGTTCCAAACCTAGCAAGTTGTGGTATTAGTTAGATGTTGCTCTCCCCTATCAACAGGATAGAGGGTTGGGAATCAAGTGTTGGCCTGCTTCCTTTTTACCTTAGTATGAGGAGTTAAGTCCTGTGGTGAGTTTATTCATGATTAAACATGATTCGGCTTTGGAGCTGAGCTTGAGCATTTTAAATAGAGCCATAGAGATGTACAGCAGGGAAACAGACCCTTCAGTCTAACTTATCCATGCCAACCAGATATTCTAAATTAATCTAGTTCCATTTGCCATTGGCCCATATCCCTCTGAAACGTTCTTATTCATGTACCCATCCAGATGCCTTTTAAATGTTATAATTGTACCAGCCTCCATCACTTCCTCTGGCAGCCTGTTCTATACACCCACCAACCTCTGCTTGAAAAGGTTACCCCTAAGGTTCCTATAAATCTTTCCCCATTCACTTTAAACCTGTGTCCTCTAGCTTTGGACATCCCCCACCCTGAGAAACAAATAGCCATGAACACATTGCCTTTATTATAGCTTACAAATCTCAAATTGGTTATCTTGTATCACACACCGTTATAGTAGGATGAAATTGTATATAGAATACAGTGCAATTTAGATCTCACATTTTTTACTACTTTTTAAATTTGCACTTTTTTAATAGTTAGATTATTCTTTTGATGCATGATGCTACATTTATTCTGTTTTTGGACTAATTTGAATGAAATAGCTTCTATAGAGTCCTCTTAGAGATGCAACATATTGATCAATCTGTTAAACTAGATCTGTTTAAGGTTACTCGTGCCTGTGATATACTTGTGGAAAGACAGGACTCCACTATATAACTGATAATGCACTTTTTCCCTTTCTCCTAGATATTCCTGGCTGTCCTTCTATGTACATGCCTGGTGAAGGTTATGCAAATCAGTCCAGCAACCTGGAAGGTAAGACATCTGTAAAATGCAAGTTCTTTCAGGATATTAACTTCTCTGAATATAGAACACTGCTCTGTGAAATGACATTGGACCAGTCCAAAAATTGTGCTTAATGTCCAGTGTGTGTGTCTTGTACTCATAAATACGTATGTGCTGGAATCAGCCAGATGGACTGCAAAGAACTTTACAAGTCCTGTACATTCCCATTTACTGGTGCAATGTTTACACTTTTTCTTCTAACATTTTAAGACAGTGGATTGTTAAAGTAAGTAGTTTAAATGTACAATTGAATAAGGATGTTGCTAATTATATTTGTGTAACATTTGAGATGAATTTTCTGATTAGCTTTCAATTCACTCATGAATTTTCTTTTCACTGCTTTTTCTTCCTGAAAAGTTTGCAGTCAGTTCCTTTGGTTAAACAAGTATAATAGTTTCTGTAACAAGTTGAGTGCAAAAAATGAGATTTTCCGATCTCTCTCCCTCCTATTTTGAAGGAGCTCCCAAGTGTGTTTAACGGCCAGATTATTCTTCTAGCACCAATTTGAAAGTGATTTTTTTTATTCATTGGATGATGGCATCACTGGCCAGGCAGCGTTTATTGCCCATCCCTAATTGCCCAGAGGGCAGTAGTTAAGAGGCAACCACATTGCTGTGGGTCTGGAGTCACATGTAGACCAGTCCAGGTAAGAATGGCAGTTTCTTTCCCTAAAGGACATTAGTAAACCAGATGGATTTTTCCCAACAATTGACAATGGATTCATGGTCATCATTAAACTCTTAATTCCAGATGCATGTTGAATTCAAATTCCACCATTTGCCATGGCAGGATTCGAACTGGTCCCCAGAATATTATCTGGGTCTCTGGATTAACAGTCCAGCAATAATACGACTAGGCCATCGCCTCCATAGATTGTTGGCTGACCATATGATGAGGGGTGATTAAGAAGGCAAACTTGACTCCTCTCCTTGTCTGGCAAAGTCATAATCATCAGAAATTTGGAACAGAGACTCTTTCTTTACTAGATCTCCCCTGTGTCCCAGAGTCAATGTGAGCGGTAGTACCTCATAAGCAGAGATCAGTTAACTCTGTACAGGTTATTGTGAATGCTGTATTTACTAACTGAACCTCAGGGAGGCATATAAAAGAGACCCTAAGGCCATTTTGCCCATCGTGTCTGCCCTCCAGGCTGATCTCATAATCCTCAACTCCACTTTTCCTGCCTTATCCCCATAACCCTTGGCTCACTTAATGATTAAAAATGTCTGTCTGAATAAACTTAACGATACAGCCTTGGCAGCTTGTTGCGGTAAAGAATTCCACAGATTGACCACCCTTTTGAGGGAAGAGAATCCTCGTCACCTGTCTTAAAATCTTGAATAGTAGGTTCAGTACACCTTTCATATCTCAGTTTTCCTCAACTTGCAGTTGAACTCTTCACTCTACACTCAGCTAACACTTGACCATTTTATGACAGAGGATAGACTCTGTAGGCAGAATATCTAAGTCTGTTTGGAGAACTGCCATGTTGTGATGCTGGTGTTTTCTAGTCTGGGTGAGGGGCACGGTTATTGCATTATGCATTACTATGTAAATGAGTCTGCCAAAAAACATGGTGCAGCATAGCTCATGACAGGTTTATGAAGATGCCACATGTCAAGACTGTCCTTAGTTTACGAGACTACCAAGTTATATAGTCCAAGCCGATCCACTTTTTAACAAATATCAGCCTGCAGCAATCGTCGGCTTAAACAGTGGCCTTTTGCCACTGGAGTTCAGTGTTAAATCAGGCTGTCACTGTTGGAATAAAATTTAGGTTCTTCTTGAGTGGGCTCAGTGTTGTTCCTGCTAGTTAACCCACAGCAGAAAGCTACCCCAATGTGGTATCAATTGGAGCCGTATCATCAAGCTTGCAGAATGTGAGTATGGGGTGTGTAAACTCTTACTGCTGCTGTGCAGCTGGCTGTTGCTAGCACTGAATAACAAAGTACTTGAATAAAAGGGGGAACTTAATCACACTGAGCTCCCTTGAGGATTGGGCATGCCAGGAGCCTGTGTCTGTCCAGGAAGCTGTGCTATCAGCAACACCAGGCACCTCCAGACCTGATTGGGATTGTGTGTCTATAAGTTAGCCCGCCCACTTCACACCCCCTACACTTGATGTCATTCATGCATTTTTGTCAAAAGTCAATTTCCTGGCAAGGACAAAGCTTTAAGGTGAATAATTGTGCACAAGCAACAAAGCATGACCGTTTTAAGCACTAATGCTGCAATTTTTCTATCAGCACCTGAGTAAATGCAGCAGGGATTTGATGGAGACTATTACAGCAGAGCCTCCTGCCTCATGGTGTATGACTCTAATAGATAATATCAATTGTTGAATAATCAAAAATCCACAAGCTTTGCTCCCCAGTAGATCATTGGATGATTATTTGGGTAGAAGTGGTGTTTGGGGTTATGGGGAAAAGGGTGGGGTAAAAGTCCTAGGTAATAGAACTGGCACAGGCATAATGGGCTGAATGGTCTCCTTCAGTGTCATGTCAATTCTGTGGTTCTGCGAACGGCATAGCGGAACTCCAGGTTTATGAATAAAGTCACCTGGACTACAAAGAAAATTGAGTTTAATTTGAGATTCATTTGTCAGCATATGTTATTGCTCAGATGGCTCAGACTGGAAAAGTTGTGAATTGTAAAATTAAAACCTAACAAATCGAGCTCTCACTGTGTACAAAGTTGTTTAAACATTGTTGCTTAGAGGTTTGCAATGATTTACTCAAACATGTTTTTGTTTCCAGATTTGATTAATAATGACCTGTACATTTGATTGATACCTGGGCATTCTTTTTTTGTTTTGTTTTGAAGCAGTAGCCAGTTCTTTGTCAGAACTTTTTTTATTTTCAAATATTTGGGGAAATTAGGGAGGGTTACTTTTTTAAGATACCAGGATTGGCTACAGAAAATGTCAAGAAGCTTGTGACCTCAGAATTTGGCAGTGCTATGACTCTGGGCTTGTGTAAATTCTTCTCTCCTCTTCTGCAAATCTTGTTCCATCAACTACAGGATAAACCAAATGTTTAAAAACTAGTTGTAACACCACTGGGGAATGATTGAATTACTCCTCTTTAGATCTTATTATATATTTCTAGCATGTGTATATAATGGTCACATTTGGACAAGTTGGAAAAATTGCTGAACCTAACAGCACAAAAGAAAATGTTTTAAAAGATTGACCACTTTGTCATTTACCTGTTAATTGTCTCACTGCATTGACAGCTTCCTGAACCTCCTGCCATCATTACAGTTTAAATAACTTCACAAAATGTTATAGACAATATGCCAGAAACAAAGAACAATATTCTTTGCAGTTGCTTTGAACAAAGGTACTGCACCACCTTTTGGACAGTTGAAGAAATGGCTGATGGTAGTGAGGCAGTGGGTAGCTTCTTCCAAGTCATTTCCAAATAGCTTTGTCTGAATGGCCTCACTGAGGATGCTGCTAATACGCCAAGGGAGCAGTCAGTTTCCTGCCTCAGTCTGTAACTATCATTTTTCCCGTCGTGCTGCTCTCCCTGAACTTCCACCTCCTATGGCTGCCACTTAACCTTCCAAAAGGATTTCTGCTTCCCTTCCAAAGCTGACACTAACCTTCCTTAACCTGCATTCATTTCTCACCTGATCCCAAGCCACCTCACCCAGTTTCTTGCCCATTAATCAGCTCCTGAAATTTTTATCTTGTTACCTGAAATGTCTTTCTGCTATCTAAATGCAATGACTTCTTACTTGCATCAGTGATGGGTTGCTATTCATCAGAAGATAATTGCAAATGCAAAGTGGAAGATAAGTTTGGTGTTTTTCTTTTGTAGAACCAATTGACGTTCAAGATCCTCTATCAATTAACTGGCTTGTCTACAATTTTACTGAAAACTAGTACAGCCAGTTTCTTGATCACGTCCCAATATAGTGGACTTTTAATATTCAGCTCCGTTGTTCTAATCATATTCTTGGGATTTTGTTTGGTAATTGATTACACTTAAATGATTAATATTATATAAGTGCAAGTTGCTAATTTTGTTATAGTGACTGAGTTCCTGAGGTAACCGCCTTGTTTATTAATAGCAGTTTATAATTGCAGTGGAAAATGTTTCTTTGGTGTATTTTCCGTACCTATTAATCTTGACTGACTGTTTGTTTGTTTATTTTATATGGCAAGCAGCACTGTCTTCTGAATGAGAAGCTAAACCTGTCTGTTCAACTGTATGTTTTAAACAAAAAGTCTGACACTAATACAAGAGAAGTTCTCTCAATCAGTGGAAACAGAATATTCAATCCTTGCTATTTGAGAGACCTTTATATAGCTAAACTGCTGTATTGATCTAGATAACACAATTGACTGGGGATTTTGGAGCAAAGGATATACTCAAATTAGAATTAGACCTTTTTCGGGAGGGAAGTCAGAAAGCATTTCTTCACACAAAAAGTGTAGTGTCAATCTAGATGACTTTAGAAAAAGTGATGTTGGTGTTAACTGAAATTTTCAAGGTTGAGATCAATGTGTTTCATGTATCGAGAAATATGGAACAAGGATAAACAGTTGAGGTGCAGATCACCAATGATCTGTCAGTGGCTGTATGGTAAGTTCAAAAGAAATCAGAAAATGAGGAAACAAATCATAAGTGTAAGGTCCTCTAATTATTATATAAATATAAAGGATATAGTTTCCAAAGTCAACATCTATACTTAACGTATGTATAATATATTTTGAAGTACACACTAAACAGTTATGGCATTAACAATAGACATCAGGAGTGAGAGAGAGAGAGAGAGTACAAATCGGATCTGAGCCAAGATAAAGACGATTTACAACTTCCATTCAGCAATCCAGGCTCTTGTCTTAAAGAACTGTTTGCCCTTTAGTCAAGTTGCTCTCCCTTGAAAATGTAAACATACCAAGAGGAACATCACTAACATTCTGAGAACTACTTCATAAAGTCCATCTATTTCCATGCCTGGGAATGTTTTGAACACAGCAAGTAGTTAGTTATCAAAGTTAAGAGTTGCATTTTCTTACAAAATAATTATGGGACAATTGAATCCTGCTGTATGGTAATGTAACTCATGAACTCAAATGTTAATATTGTCACAAGGGAATGGCAGCTCATTACACTGTCATTTGCTATTCATGATGAAGATAGTTGTTATCATCCTCTTTAAGTGTAGGAAACTAAGGCTTGCTTGACCTAGCATGGTGGAGGAAACCACTTCCTGGTTCAGGTAGAAGAGTTTCTTGCAAATAAGATATAGTCTGTTGTAAAGTAGCAAGTAGTCACAGGTTACATCAGTGAAAGACACTGTTGCAGATACTTTGAGGACTGCCAATTGTTAGGTCTTGCTCCTTTGAGATTCTAAGCTGTTGTGCCACATGACATCATAGTGGATGGTGCTAAGGCACTTCTTGCTCCTTTCAAACCCTGAGACAACAAACATAACTTAACTCCACCATTGTAATACCTTGAATCTATCCTTACCACATTGCTTCCAACATCAGTCAGTCCCTGGGGTTGATTATCTCGTATCACCTTTTAATATTAAAATGATTGACAAGGCATTGGATTGAGGCAGGCAATAAAATTGCTAATGTTGCTTCTGTACATTCCAGGCTTTTCATATGAGAAACAGCTGAGACCTTACAGTGACGATGCATCTGTGGTTCCTGACAAACTTGAAGGTTAGGACTTTCGACTGTATCACAGTGGGTGAATGGTGCATCAATTTTTCAATAAACTGAAAATCAAAAACTCTGGTTTATGGTGTGAAATGCATAAGTTTTTACAAATTCCATTTGCAATTGCATTTCTTCAATTTTCTAAATGCAATATTTGTTTTAAATATGCAGAATGTGAAGAAGCAAAGCAACTTGCTTGATTGCTAAAATTCAACTGGGGGCTGCAATGTTGAATGCATAACTTTGCATGAGGTGTACTGTTTTCACGGTCAATGGACGTTGAATTCTTCCTCATCAATATTTTTGACTGTTGGCTTCTAATCCTCCAAGTGTCAGGTTGGACACCATTGTCTGATTTTAACATGGTTCCATTTTCACTGCTCCATTAGTTTTCATCCCTTCAGTTACTACAGCCATAAGGCTCCAGAATTACCTTACTAAACCTCTCTACTTCTGTCTGCTACTTTTTGAGGCATTCCTTAAAATCCACCTCTTGCCAAACATTTGTTCATCCACTTTTTTTGGACAAATATTTTGACTTGCCTAATTATGTCTTGTCCAACCTATTAAGTAACTGGATGCCAAATTTTGTTTGTTAATCACAACTAGGAAGCACGTTACAAAAATGTACTAAATTAATACAAGTTGTTTTCGGTTTTTTTTATTCATTCACGGGACGAGGGCGTCACTAGCTAGGCAGCATTTATTGCCCATTCCTATTTGCCCAGGGGGCAATTAAGAGTCAACCACATTGCTGTGGGTCTGGAGTCACATGTAGGCCAGACCAGCTGAGGATGGCAGTTTCCTTCCCTAAAGGACGTTAGTGAACCAGATGGGTTTTTCCGACAATCAACAATGGATTCATGGTCATCAGTAGATTCTTAATTCCAGTTATTTATTGAATTCAGATTCTACCATCTGCCACAGTAAGATTCGAACCTGGGTCAACCAGAATGTTATCTGGATCTCTGGATTAACAGGCCAGCGATAATGTCACTAGGCCATCGCAACATAATTTTAACCTTCCCACACTCACCATTTTCCACTCGGCGTAAAGCACATATAATTTAACTGTGTGCAGAACTCAACTCACTGGCCTTGGGTCACAGAAAATTCCCTTTGAAGATGATTTTAAACTATTACCTGGATTCTGTTTAATTTCGATCTTCATTTAAAGAAATTACTTGACACCCTGTGCAGTTATACTGTGACACTGATGTAATGCAAGTATCCTTTTCTCTTTGGAAGTGGTCTTGCACCTAATTCAGAACTCATGCTATCCTGATTGAAACCAATGTTCTCTTGTGAGAATGCAAAATGTGCAGAGTAACTGTACTATAAGCAGGGTCAGGCAGCCTGCTAGCTCCGTTGATTAGAGTGAACACTGGGTTCTATCCCCCAGACAGGTGAGGTAGTTCTTGGCTGCCTCTTGCTGTGCCCCATAATGATGTCATTGCGTTAAGCCATGATTAGCAACCCTACATGACAAGGGAAAGATGAGCAGCGCCAAGTTTCCTTTTTCATTACTGTGCTTTCTGGGATGGCTTTTTGGAAATCACAGCATTTCTGTCCATTCCTCTCAAACCCATAAACCAGGCATTAACTATAAAGTATTTGCATGCAATTTCCTCTACTGATATGAATATGAAGTCCATAAGAGTTATAGAATGGGAACAAATTTGGATCTGATTGAGATTGTGGAGTAATTGAAACCAGTGAGCCATATAACTGAGTGGAATGGCATTTCTTGGTATCATGGTAGTATCATTGGGCTGATAGGCAGAGACCCAGGCTGATGCTCTGTGTTCAAATCCTACCATGGCAGCTGATGGAATTTAAAACTTCAATCAATTAATTTGGAATTGAAAACTACTGTCAGTAGTGGTAACCATAGTAACATAATTATCAAAACCCATCTGGTTAACTAAGAAAAGGATTTGCTGTTCTTGCCTGGTTTGTCCTACATGTAACTCCTGTCCCACACCAAGTGGTTGACTCCCAATTACCCTCTGAAACAGCTGGGCTAGTCACTCCATTCAGAGGCAATTAGGAATGGATGACAAATACTGCCTTTAAGCACATCTGAGGTAAGATAATTCAGTAAATAGTTTGATTTTAATCAGGGGAAGTAAACTGTTTTCCAAAGAAGGTAAATGAGTGCCTCCAATAACTACTTGTCTATATGCTGAATATTCAACAGTTTTTTTTTTAAACTTGTTGATTCCAGTTCAAGTACAGGAAATGTTTCTGTTTTTGTGTGTACTTTACCATGCGATGTCAAACATCCATTTTCATCTGTTCAGTTCAATGCCAAATCAAAAGCAGTATTAGGGCATTCTGCTGTTTTATTTTTCTGATCCTACTGGCATGGTCTCTTTTGAAAAGGAGAAGGTGGAGATTTATAAAGAGCTGAAAATGGAGAGAAGCATCCCCATGCAATAAGTTGACTTTTAGAATTTCGTAAACATTTTTTTGGACAAATATTTTCACTTGCCTAATTATGTCTTGCCCCACTGACTTAGCAGGCACTGATGATTTACCAGTCAGGGTCCTCCCAACTGATGTGTTTGGAAGAGGAGGCTTCTTGTCTCCCAATTATCTGCAAAGCAAGCTGCAATGGCCTCCTGTTGGTCAATGCCATTGTTAATGAAGGCTGAGCTTCCCAAAGAATCTGAAACGGCAGATCGCTCACATTTGAGATGTGAATGCTTATCTAGCCTGAATACTCTTCAGAAAAACCCTGGCTACACCATCTATTGTGCTGCTTGGTGGAAGACCAAGAACTAGCATTATTGCTGCTTTGGTTGTTGGTGTGACAACAAACATCCATAATTCATTAGCATTTCTTTTAACTGTGAATGTGGTTAACAATATGATAATGGGCGAATCGTGTTTTCGAATTTGAGAAATGGTTGTCGGGCTGGGGATTACCTCCATTAAATAGTGTCATGGGATCTTTCGCATCCTCGTGAACAGGGAGAAGGGGCCTCTATTTAATCCCACATCTAAAAGTCAGCATCTCTGCTGGTTCAGTGATCCCTCTATCATTGGAGACTGGAGTGGAATTAGAACTGGGGACATTTGTGGATCAAGGGTAAGAGTGCTTACCGGTTGAGCCACAGCAAACCTGATTCAATCACCTCACCAACCAGTGCTTTCAGACCCTGGCACAATTACCTGAGAGGAAGCTGATGAGTTGGTCCTGGTTTAGGATCCGGGATTGCACGCAAGGCTGCACACTCTATGAGACCACTCCAAAAACTTTGCAGCATAGAACTCGGTTACACAAACTACGACAGTCAATGTGGCGTAAATACTGGATTGAACCAACCCTGTTTGCAGATATGCTGCAAAGCTGACTTCTGAATGCAAGTGCCACATCAAGTTAGCAGACATTAAACTAGGGTCAGATTCTGAGGGTGCTCCATGAAAAATTTTGCCTGTTTCTGGGGTTTTATTTCTTTTAGTTTTAATCTGTTCCTTCAGCATGGCTTTAAGGGCAGAGACAGCTCCCCACCACTTGCTTTTCCATGGGGAGATTTTCCTTTGATTGTCTTGTGCATTTAGTTCACACGCAATTTTCGTTTTGCTCTTTTGGGTAATTCTCTTCTTTAAGGATAGTAGACTGGTGGAAATACAGAAACCCCAGCACACGTTATTAAAGGGCAGGTGATCCATTTGCCACTTCATCATCCGAAGCCAAAATTGACAGTACCTTCCCCACATGTCTGCTAGACCAATTGAATTTGCACCATCATTTGTGAATTATTATCTAAATGAGAATAGATTACAGAATCAGTTGCCATTTGTCCCTGACTTTTCAGGCAGGTTCATTCCCTATTTTAAACCCCCCAAAAAGGAGTGACTTGCAATGGTTTTCAACAATGACCCAAGAAGAGGGAATAACATTAACATCAACAATGTCAATACTTTCCTTCCTCCTTTGTCTGAGATGGAACATCCCACAGGGAACTGGAGTAATAGAACCCTGAGGACGATAGTAAGAAACTTGCATCACTTCCACAAGCGACAGATTACAAGGATTTTCCACTTTCTCCAGAATGCTCTGCAATAAAGTGTTCCACGTGTACACTGAACTTTGAAACATCAAATATAATTTGCAGGGATGAATGAATGGCCCAGAGTAGTGATTTCATCCAGTTTAAACAATGCAAAGTCAGCCAAAGCAATCAAACCCTTTAGTTGGCTCAGTGTAAGCATCTGTCCATCCTAATCTCAAATGTGAGTTGCCATGATATTTTAGTTCATGCCATTGTGAAACAGGGAGAGTAGGCAAGAGATGCACAACAATATAAACATTAAATAACTTGGCTCAATTACAACATATGATCATTTTTTGTAAAAGAAGGGAATGAAAGTTGTGAATTGACTTTCACATTGAAGCGTTCATGCCAAGAGTTTGTGAGTGATCCAAGTAATTTTGTTAATACAGCTCTTTCACAAACCAAACTGTGCCTAGTTATTACTGGCTGGGCACATTTCCTTTCAATGTACCCAAGTGCATTTTCCATTGGAAACAGTGGCTCAGCCTGACTCCGGTGGGGATGAAGTTTATTACCACTTGCTGAATGCAGTCCAGCACAGGAGCTCACAATGAAGTGTGAACATCGTTATTGTGTTGTGTAATCTTCAGCTAGGATCCCGCAACACTACATTTTATCCTAACTTTTATTTAACAAATGCAATTCCCTGACGTCAAGCAATAACCTTCCCAAACCCGGCAAATTAAACAGCTATTAGTCTGTTGAGATCACACTCTAAGTGAAGAATAAAGGAATTGCCTGTTCCTCCAGGCTTCTGTTGGTCAGTTTATTGGATTAGACCACAATGTGTGTTCTGATTTTCGACTGTTTCATAGTCTCTGTGACATTAGTATTAAAAGCAAAGTGTTTAAAATCCAAATATTTTAATTTATACTTTACTTAGCCTCCATCTGCTAATATTAACAGGTAGTTAGTTTACTTTGGCGTTGAATAGTTGGTACATTCTTCAAATTTCTGAACACTCACTAACCTATATATTCTCAAAACATCAAAATGAAGAAAAGCCACACCTTCAGTGCTACTTTTTTTACAAAAGCTGATAATCATTTAATTAAAAACGAACTTACCATCACCTAAGCCCTACATTTTGATTGATTGAGTTCTATGTCCTTTTATCTTTCATGAAACGTATCCTGCCGGACTGCAGTATTATTGTAATGTATTTTTCTTGCCTGTGCTGCCTCTGCTGTTGCCTAACTCCTTAGGACTGCCCTTCTGAGGCTCCTTGCTGCCGTTTCCAATGCATCTAGCCATATCTCTAGCAACGGTGTCTCTTTCCATGCCTACAAATGCCTCGAGAGGTGTGTTTCCATATCTGCAACTTTTTTGAACTGAACATTGGGAAAATGAAACTGGTTCTCATCCCCTTCGGTTAATGCCGCCTCCTGCCTGGGTTACTGACTCAGGCAGACCTGAAGGCTCATTTTCAGCCTTGAACTGAGCTGAATCCCATGTCCTCTCCATGAATCTGCAGCGGTTAGCCATTACCCTCTGCAATGTGGCTGACCAACAAATTCTATCCCTTTTATTATCTATGAAAGCATTGGAAGGATTTGCAGTTTGGTAATCGAACTGTTGGCCACTTTATAAATGTATCTCACCCGGCCATCAAATCCTGGAGTGAGAATTGAACTTGGAACTCAGAAGCAGTGATGCTACCCATTACGCCATATGACATCCTTTATTCTGCAGCGTATATTTTTAAACAATCTTGATGTTACCTAATCAAAATATTCAATTCATTTTGTATTTTCAGGGCCTTAACTTTTCCCTAGACTTTTCAGTAGGGAAAATGTACAACCAAGCTCTGTACATTTTTTGGAAAATATGACTGCTTGTATGTCATTGCTTATAATCTGGATCAATTTCTTTCGTGGTTTCACTCAGCTAAGTGCAATTAATTTTTTGTTTTCATTTGGCAGGTGACATCAAGCAGGAGATCAGTACATATCGTGACGGCCCTTTATATCAGCGTCGGGGCTCCCTCCAGCTGTGGCAGTTCCTGGTTGCACTCCTGGATGACCCATCCAACTCTAACTTTATTGCTTGGACGGGTCGAGGGATGGAATTCAAACTGGTTGAACCAGAAGAGGTGAGAAAATAGTTTGCCACTTCTTTTTGTAAAACAGCTTTTCATATTTACATAATTATTGCAAATAAGCTAAAGAATGAATGGCTAGAAACTGTTGAGAGGGAGCATCTGAGACGGACTGGGAATTGAACAATAACGTGAGACAGGGAACAAGTAAGGAGATACAGTTTGGAATGGAGGGGAATTAGTTTTTATTTTGAGGGGTACTTTTTCATTCTCATGAGCTCATTATTAACTGATAGTCAGTTGGTAAGAATGCTTTTCGCATTTAGGTTGACACATGGATTATTTTGACTCACACAGAAACAGAATTAGAAGAAGTCATTAACATCTTTGATAATCAACCGTAGCTCATTGCCATTTTCTCTCATTTAATTTATGTTAGTACCTTTTCTCTGACTATTCACCCATGAGTAGATTTTCTGAGGTGATATGGGGCCATCCAGGGATAGAATTGCCCACTGCCCCTGTGTATTTCAAGTGTTGGTCTGGAATGAGCAGCAAGTAAGAGTTCACCCAATGATACTTTGGGAATTCTAGAAAAACAGCAGCTAGTAGTGGAATGCTTAAAGAAGAAGGGTCAGTAAGTGTAGCTGGTGCTGAAGTTAGCAACAGGCTTCCAGGAGATCTTCAGAGAAGTTAGGGCTTACTTTTTTCTTTTCATTTGTTTGCTGCACAGAAAACCAGCAATTTGTCTTTAAAGTCCGAAAAGTGCTTCTCTAAAGTTTAATTTTAAAAATGGTGTTGAACCAAAGGAGGAGATGTTGGGGCTGTTTAATAGTTGATCTGAATGTTGACACCTCTGACAGTGCAGCACTTTCCAAGCTACACTGGAGTGTTAGCCTTGAATTGTGTACTCCAGTGGGACTTGAATCCACAACCTTGTGCTTCAGAAGTAAAGGTACTACTAACTGAGCCACATTAGGAATGGAAAGGCTGTCTGGGTAAAGCAGCAGCACAAGTCTTTGAAGGTGGGAGGAGACCTTGATGAATTGGCAAAGCTATTGGCAAGGTAGGCACGCAGAAATGAGCCCAGAATATGTTAGTATCAAGATGGCAGAGGAGTGGTTCTGCTGCCAGAAGAACAACATTAGAATTCTTATCAGGAGTACATCAAATATTAGGAGCTGGGAAGCAATATTATTCAGAAAAGTTTGAAAATAGTGGGTCAGTTCAAAAGAATTTGGGATTTGAAAGATTTGAGTATTTAAGTTTGTTTTGGGGCGTGTGGCACAATATCATTGGTGCAGACAGGATTTCTTTTCTCTTGGATGAGGTAATGATAAAGTTGCCATCGTCCTACCAGACCGTAGGCTACTCTCTCATTAGACAGAAGCGACTGGTGACAGTTTAACCTGAGGGTCATCATGACTCTGGCAAGAGAAAGGTTGAAAAGGCGAGTTCTTCATGGCAGCCTCAGCCAGTGTAGGAATTGAACCCACACTGTTGGCATCACTGCATCACAAAGTAGCTATCCAGCCAACTGAGCTAGCAAGCACCCAGAACATGGATGAAACTATGACTCGAACCACATGATAAGGTGGGAACCTTTGAAATAGTCCCTTCTTCCTCCACCCATACTGCTTTTCCAGCACCACATCCCTCTTGTTTTGATCAGAATCTGCTTAGCCTTGACTGGACCTTGATCCTCAACCTCAAGCTTAAAAGCATAAGCCATTCACATAAAAACCTGATGAAGCTACATTCTTGGCTGTTGCCAGGAACAAGTTTAAAATTGTTTGCATTTTCAGTGCCTTTAGACAAGTATTGATAATGCCCCTTTTAGTGTCTGGATGGAATCCTCATTCCTTGAGGCTGGGTTTGATGTTTACAGAAACTGTATTGATAAGAAAGAGCAGAGTCTTTTAGAGAGGTTTAAATATGATTGAAAATGTGGAAGAGACAAGATGGGAAAAATTGACAGCGGTAGATGCATCAGGCACAGTTACGGGAGGTACGTATGACACAGAAAATGTGTACATTGGCAAAACTTTTAAATAAAGTAGACTAAGATTGAAAAGAAAATACACATTTGAAAGAAATAATAAAAATACCCGTTATAATTGGCCTGACTGAGCTCGCTTGCCCAGTGCCTGTCACAGCTTTTCTATACATGAGCGGTTAAAGGAGCCATAATACATCAACTACATTGATATTATTTTGATGCACAGTCAGATCATTTTAAAAACAGTCTGTGGTGAATAGTGTTAGGCTACAATGCGGTTTAGTTAGGGAAGGTGCTGTTGAAGAAGGGTACAATCACAAGAGCAATACAGTTCAGGAAGACTGTTCAGCCTTTCATTGTTGATCAATCTGTTAATGGTCTAATTGTGTTTCCCTTCCCATCTCATCCCAGCCAGCTGTTCCTTAAATTACTCCAGTTTTTAATCTCCTGTAACCTACTTAGAATCTGTTTCAAGTGGTGATCTTCTTTGGACAAGGAAATATCTCCATCACCCTTTTGGAAGTTTGAATTTCAGAGATTTTAATTTTCAAGTTTGTTTTAAAACAAACTGATTTTTTTTGCTGTTATGATGTCACCCATGTAGGAGTCAAAACCAATTTGAGGAGGGAGCCATTACATTTCTAACCAGCCTAACACAGGAAAAATGGACCAATTACATTATCAGCTGAAATAGCAACTGAGCTAATATGACAATGTCAAAATCTGACATTTATCACTGGACTGAATCTTTAACACAATCCTAACTACTTAGGAGTAAGACATAAAACTAAATATAGTTTAAAATGTATGAAATTCCACTTTTACGTGAAAAGACTTGTTGGGATTCAAATTCTAAATCATTGATTACTCTTGTGCTGCCTTTGGATATGTAGCCAACCTTTTTGCCCACAGTGACCTCATACCTCTCCCCACCTCCTCAAATCATTGCCTGATTTCATCCCTGCCTCAGTCCATCAGCTGAAGAAACTCATTCGTTGTTACATTTGAATGTGACTGTTTTAATGTACTTTTGCCCAGCACCCAAATTCTTTTCTCTCTCTGTAGACTTGAGCTCATCCAAAACTCTGCTGCCTGTGTCCTAATTTGCAACAAGCTCCATTCATCCATAACTCTGTGCTGTCAATTATGCAATATCTTAAAATTCTTAGCTTTGTTCTCAAATCTCACTGTGGCCTTACCCCTCTCTATCTCTGTAATCTTCTCCAGCACCAAGTAATCTTGCACTTCTCTGCAACACCTACAATTTCAACTGCTCTACCATTGATGGTTGTGCCTTCGATTGTGAGACCCAAACTTTCTAAATCCCTCTACCTCTCATCTCCTTCCTTTCTTCACAACACTCCTTCAAACCTCCCTCTTTGTCCAACTTTTTTGTTTATTTGCCTTAATATATCTTTTGGTGGCTCAGTGTCAAATTTTAGTTTATAATGTTCCTGTGCAGTATCTTGGAACACTTTTTTTTTATTGCATTTAAAGCTGGTAAACTATTGTCGGTGGTCTTGTGGCCCTTCACACGATCAGATCCAAAATCAATTGGAATCCACCCCCGAATGCTTTGTATAAACATCTTGAAGGGAAATTTTACAAAATAGCACTTAGTAGGAACAGATCTTGGGAATTTCACTACACATTCCCCAAATGAGCTGAGTGAAGGAAACAGAGAAATTAACGGTCAATGGATATTTTTTGACCTGGAGGAATGTTTGTAGTGAAATTCCCCAAGAGGTGATATTGGGACCGTTGTACCCCTGAAATATGCTAATGATCTAGATCTTGGTGTACAGGGAACAATTTCAAAGTTTGCAGTGTACAAAAGCATGGAATAATTGTAAACTGAGAGGACAGCGTACAACTCCAGGGGACACAGACAAGTTGGTGAAGTGGGGAGATAGGTGGCAGATGAGTTTCAGAGCAGAGAAGTGTGAAATGATGCATTTTGTTAGAAGGAACATTGACAGGCAACATAAAATCAGGGGTACAATTCTAAGGGAAGTGCAGGAGCCGAGTGACATGGGTGTATATGTGCATCGATCACTAAAAGTGGCAGGATAGCTGGAGAGCAGTACATAAAGCATACAGTATCCTTGGCGTTATTAATAGGAGCATAGTGTACAAGAGCAAGGAGGTGGTGTTGAACTTGTACAAGATACTTGTTAGACCTCCATTGGTGTATTCTGTACAGTATGGCCGCCACACTGTATAAAAGATGTGAGTGCATTGGAGAGAGCGTGAAAGCAGTTTATAAAAATGGTTTCAGTGATAGGAAACTTCATTTATGAGGAAAGATTGAAGAAATTGGGACTGTTCTCCTTTAAAAGAAGGCTGAGTGGCGATTTGATAAAGTTTTCAAAATCATGAACAGCCTGGGTAGGGTAGATTGGGAAAAACTATTCCTGCTTGAAAAAGGAACAAGAACAAGAGGGCTTAAATTCAGTGATCTCCAAAAGAAGCAAGGGTGAGTTAGTGAAAACATTTTCAGTCAGCAGCAAGTTAGGATCTGAAACGCACTGCCTAAAGGTATGGTGGAAGCAGGTTTAATTGAAGCATTCAAGAGGGCATTGGATAGTTATTTGGAGACAAATAGTGTGTAAGGTTATGCAGAAAAACACTAAGTGATGGTGCTCATTTAACGAGCTGGTGCAAGCCTGATGGGCTGAATGGCCTCCTTCTGTGATTTATGCCTGAATTCCCAATCTGCATTTCCAGTAATCAAGGAAGAGAAATTACAGCATTCTAAACATGAATGCTTCTATTTCCATTGTAAGAATTTTCTAATCAATCAGTTCAAGGATATTACAACACACCCCTGGACCAAGTGGGAGTTGAACTTGGGCCTCCTGACTCAGAGATAGGGACACTACCATTGCACCACTAAAGCCATCTCTATTTCTGTTGCAAACAGAGAACTTTATATAGAGACTGTTGATTCTTCATATTTTCTTTGCTGTCCTTCAATCAGCTTCTGTTTGATTTCAGGAAACTTGGAGTGGAAATCTTTTTGCATTGGTGAACCTTTATGTGCCACTTTCGTGAATGCATGTTTAAGTTAATGCTCACTGCTGTGCATCTTGGAGCTCACATACTCAGAGTAGAATGCAGGGGGCACTTTATCGATTGATTCTTTGATGGGATTCACTACCATAGAAAGTCATTGAGGACAAAACATTGTGTTTTCAAGATGGAGGTAGATATAGCTCTATAAAAACTGAAAGCACCATGGATGCTGTAAATCAGGAACAAAAACAAAGTTGCTGGAAAAGCTCGGCAGGTCTGGCAGCATCTGTGAAGGAAAAAACAGCGTTAACGTTTTGTGTCCAGTGACACTTCCTCTGTAGATATAGCTCTCGTGGCTGAAGGGATATTGGGGGAGGACATTTGTTACGTTCTATCTGCCAGTGTTTCTGGTGGGTGGACTGGGAGAAGTCAGATCAGCTGATGGATTAACTATTGCAGCACTGTCAGATTTTTGCTGGCTAGACTGAAGCCGAAGGCCAGTTATGGAGTGCAGAACCTGGTGCTTGGGAACATGTGAAAAATTCAGCCAGGGCAGGAATCAGCAGTGCAATTTGGAGACTTAATAATCTGCCAGTTTCCATTAGGAACTGACAATGCAACTGGTTTTGCCATCTTGCAATTTGTGTGCAGTAGTGCCCATTTTCCCAGCAGTGCTATTTAATACATGGGTGTACTGATTAAAACCCTGCAATTGAACACTACACTTACAAAGTTTCATTAAGGAAGATAGACATGCCAAGACATTCAATTTGTTAAGCTAGCATTTGACTTGATTTGTAATACTCATTATAATGTAATATTTCAAATTTCTTCAAAACAAAGCGACAACATTTGAGTGATATCTAAATGGTTATCTGCGGATGTAAATTTGAGTTATGGAGCAGGAACTTTCAGACCATGAAATAAAATCCATGGTTCAATTCTGATAAATGGTTCCACTTAAGTAGTTTATTCAGATATGTTCTGCTCACATTAGTATCCCCTAAAATCCTAGGGGCATATGAAGTCTCAATTCACCTAAACCTGCCATTTTCAGCTTTCTCTCCAATCCCTCTCTATTTTGTGTGTAGTTCCACAGATATTTAAAGTCTTCCAACATATCACTCATATGTAGCCATTTAAAACATAAAACACGAGTATTAGTATGATTTTCTGTTTCTTTCTGGTTACAATCTTAGTCCATTTTTATTTGGGTGCTCCTCAGTAAATTATACTCAAGGAAACAGAATTTTCTAATCATCTATAACTCAAGAATTTGCAGCACTTACTAGGGGCAGGAATGATTGAGAATTCTCAGTCCTAATTATTATTGAGTGATCTCTTTGCAGTCGAACACAGGTACACAGACATTAGCCGACATCATGTTTGAGAGGCAATCGTAGGTTTGGGTTTTGTTTTTGAAAGGATGGATATGACGTTTGCTGAAAGAACAGCTAACAAATTCTCCCAAGGACCCTGCTCAAGCTGCTGTTAAAAAACATAAAGGAGAGGTTTCATGATTGTAGAATCCCTATGGTGTGGAAACAGGCCCTTTGGCCCAACAAGTCCACACTGACCCTTGGAACATCCCACCCAGACCCATCCCCCTATAACCCACACACCCCTGAACACTACGGGCAATTTAGCATGGCCAATCTTTGGACTGTGGGAGGAAACCCACGCAGACACAGAGAGAATGTGCAAACTCTGCACAGACAGTCACCTGAGGCTGGAATTGAACCTGAGTCCCTGGCACTGTGAGGCTGCAGTGCTAACCACCGAGCCACCATGCCACCCCCATGTTCCCTTTTGATTGGCTTCTCCTGTTTTTCTATGGGGTTGTGTTCAGTCCCCACTCTGCCAGAACGCCCAAGTTGGAATACGGCAACTCTGCAGAGCAGAAGATTTTACCTGCACCACACTGCTCAGTGACAATGACATTAATATTGTTTGGCATGTTAGCACTTGCGTGATTTCCAGGTTACACCTCCTGAAGGTATTGGCTCACCTAATACCACACCAAGATGACCATTGTGTGAACTAGACTATGGGCATTGACAGGCTATTAATCTGTGTGTACATCATAAACTCACCTCGACTGTTTATGTACATTGTGGCACTATGCAATGGATACCAGTGAGAAATGGAGTTTCTTTTCTCACTGTTCCAAGGTCTTCTCTCATTAGCCCAAATCTATTGAGATTAACTATCTTTGGCGATTGGACCATGTTCCCTGCGGAATGGTTTGGCACAGTACCACCCCTATGCACTAAGCCAATATAATAGCACCCACAATCAGTTAACATTGCAAGGTCTGCCTGGATACCTACGACCTGGGACTCTCACATCATCCACAATGAGCTATTGCTTTCTGCTGGGCCAAGTATCATTTTGATTTGCTGACATAGAAATGGCGTCATTCTCTGCCCAGGACTAGGTGCTGACAGTTAAAAAAATCAACGTTTACAACAAAGCAATAAACAAGGAGATCAGTGACATCCCCATTAGTGTCAGTGGTGATTGATGACTCCATTTAACAAAGTTACTCTCCCTTGGTGCGCAGAACTTCCAGAAAGCATTGTACATTTGAGGGCACATTGTTAAACAAAGACCTGTTGGTTAATGAAGTTCAATGATTTAAACCTTAGGATGTCTACATTTAGACTGTACTTTCAGAGGGAACAATAATAATTAGTTTACTTAGTAAATAATGCTGCACACTGAGGTGAATGGAAATTCTGATCTCTGCTTCGCTAATATTGTTGTCACAAACCCCCACCGGCTGTACACCTATAATGTGACCTACCACATTACAATATGTACATAGCAGCCATAGTTGTCAAATCACTTCCACTGTCCAAAGTTCCACCCGGAGAACGAGCCTGTGGCTGAGCTATTGATGACTGTGAGAATCCATCAATGTTCTCCGAGTGATGCCTTGAAGGTGGGATGACAACTTTGGAAAAATGTGGAAGAAAGCTTAAGCTTGCAGACAAAGACCCAATTCTTTGATGAGAGTAAACACAATTGCTTTCCCTGACTAGCCATTTCTCAGAAGTAGCATTAAATCCTAGTTTCTGTCAGTGACTATTGAGAACTTGTGCAGTCTCTTCTATTGTAACATTCTTTTCTATGATAGTATTTTCTCTTGCTTCTAAGGCTCTTTGGGCTTCTGCTTCCACAGCTACTCATTACTAGCCAGTATCTTATCCAAGTGCCTACTCTTTCTTCCATTGGTGAGACTTCATACTCAGCTGAATCCACAGACCCATTCCAATTGTACCTTCTGGGCACTGATAAGAGTGCTGCCTGTTGGGGGTGCTATCTTGACATGAGATGTTAAAGGTCTGTATGCCCCATCATAAGGATCTAACGATGACCACAAAACCATTATCGATTGTCAGAAAGATCCATCTGTGCTCACCAATGTCCTTCATGGAAGGAAACTGCCCTCCCTGCCTCATATGACCTACTTGTGATTCCAGACCCACAATAATATGATGACTCTTAACTGTCCTCTGAACAATTAAGAATGGACAATAAATGTTGGCCTGGCCAGTGCCCATATCCTGTAAATGAATTAAAAAAAATTAAATGAGCTATGATCTTATTGAATGACAGAGCAAGTCCAGGGGGCAAAATGACCTAAAGCTTCTTCTAATTCTTGTATTTGCATGTTACATCAAGAATATTCATCTCTGCCATGTTGAAAATGTTCTAAAAGTAAATGAGTCTATGGTCATGTGGAAAGGTTGTATCAGCTACACACCAAGCAGATACTTCTTCAAAGTAACAGCTGTGTATTACTGTGCTTACTCGTGAAAGTGAGGGCTACAATTTTAGCAAAAGTGAAACAAAACTCAATAGTATCAAGTGATTCTTTTAAGAATATTTTAATATGGGAAATTTGAAAGGAAATAAGAAGTACTGGAAAAGCACAGAAGCTTTGTCAACATCTGTAAGAAAAACTTACGTTTTAATTTGTACTCAGAACAAATACAAAAAGGTATTCATCCGAACTGTTAACTTACCAAATGAGTGCACTCTGAGGCTTTTATTCTGATGACTAGTTTCTGGGCCCCCGATGATCTGCTGTATTGTCTTATTCAATGGTAACACTTTAATGTTGCTGATTAAGTCCATGTAGACTTCTGAACTCACAAAGTTGTACTGTGAGGGGACTATTATGAAATATTAAATCCATTTTCTGCATCACATTAGGAAAACTCTGCTACTCTTCATAATTTGTTTTTTTTAATTGTTTTTGGGATGTGAATATTGCTGACACAGACTGTGATAATTGCCCAACACGAAGATCCCTCAAGAAGGTAGCTGTGAGTGAGGACAGAAAACACAGATCTCTGTGGTGTTCTGGCCCTGGGGTTCTGTTATTGGGCCCTGATATACCCCTGTCCTGGGCCCTAGTTACAACCCACCTTCTTGAGATGGTGCAATCCCTGAATTTTTGATACGTCTACAGTACATTTTTCTGTAGCAGGTTAATTGACATTCCTATATCATTTCGGAGAGCGGTTAAGAGTCAGCAACATTACTGTGGACCCAGAACCACCTGTAGGCCAGACTGGTTAAAAATGGTGATATCCTTCCCTGAAAGATGGAAAAGACCAGAATCATTCATTTATTTTTGTGCACATGTTGAACAAATGATTTTCCTTCTATAGGTGGCAAGACTGTGGGGAATGCAAAAGAACCGACCAGCCATGAACTATGATAAACTTAGCCGTTCACTTCGCTACTATTATGAGAAGGGGATCATGCAAAAGGTAAGTTCAATGTAATTATTAAAGTGAGCATTTTATAGCTAGCACCTGCATCAAATCAGACAATTGTATAGGTTAAAACTTAGCCCCACAATTGCCCCATCCACCAAACCCTTCTATAAATTGCATGACCAGCTTCTCTGTTCCCTGCCAGTCAGCTAACCCTCTACCTGTGCACATCTCCTGATATCAATCCTCATTTAAGACTTTAACACACTTCCTTTTGCACATCATTGGATAAGACTGCAACTTCCAAAAGACATGTCACAGACACAATCCAATCCAGACAGGACTGGGTCATGAGTTTCAGTTTCAGTTCTACAGTTGAATCTCATAGAATTCCTACAGTGTGGAAAGAGGCCATTTGGCCCATCGAGTCTACACCGACCCTCTGAAGAGCATCCCATTCCTACACTACCTCCCTACCCTGTCTCTGTAACCCTGCATTTCCCGTGACTAAACCATCTAACCTACACATCCCTGGACACTACTGGGCAATTTAGCATGGCCAATCCAGTTAGTCTGCACATCATTGGACTGTGAGAGGAAACAAGAGCACGCAGTGAAATCGCATGCAGACGCTGGGAGAATGTGCAAACTCCATTAAGACAGTCACCCAAGGCTAGAATTGAAACCTGGTGTCTGGCACTGTGAGGTAGCAGTGCTAACCACTGAGCCACTGTGCTGCCTGAAACCAACTCCCCAAATCATATGAAGTAAAATTCAGTATGGGTCATCTGAGATTGTGATAGGGGTGCAGCGGCATTGCCAATTGATCCACCTTGTCAAGATGGGATGGGATGGGAGACTGCAAAATAGACAAGGGAGCAGTCAGACTAAATGCCTCCAGGAGAGAGAATGCAAGACTCAGGAGCAAGCATAGACCACTCTGCCCCACGAGCCTGCTCCGTATTGTAGTAACATCATGGCTGATTTGATGATGGCTTCAACTCTGCTTCATTGTCTGCCTCCCATAACCCTTAAGTCACCTATTGATCAAAAATCTTATCTAACTCAACCTTAAAATTATTTAATGACCAAGCCTGCACTGCTCCCTGAAGAAGGAAATTCGATGACTAATTGCCCCTTGGAAGGGGTGAGGAAATATCTCCTGAGTCTTAAATGGGAGACCGCCAAACTATATCACCCTATTCTCAAATCTTGTGTTTCAATAAAATCGCCTTTCAAATTTCTAAACTCCAATGAGTATAAACCCAACCTGATCAACCTTTCCAAAAATGACCCACAACTTTAGTTGTAATCTTTAAAGGAGCAAACATGTTTCCACTCCCTTTCTTTCTCCTTCCCACTCCCATTAAAGTCCAGACTTAAGAGATCTTTGTATTATGGAGCCAGAATGGTACGCAACCTATATATGGTTAAACTGTAGACTCCCTTGCAGTTTTATTTCCTGTCATTTAGGAACTCTTTGCCAAACAGTTTACAAAACGATTAGCTGACTAAGTTCAGAAAAGAAAGTGGCAGCAATAGGTGAAATAGTAGTGGTGAAATAAGTGTGGAAAATTGGTCGTATGATGGAAAGTCTTTATTTTCTGTTTACTATGCAGTCTATTCTACTGGACTGAAACTACTTCTTAACTTAATTTTTTTTTTGATGGGGAAAGAACACAGTCACATGTTTTCCACATAGTTTTCTGGCCCGGGAACTGATCAGGTGCCAAAAAATTGCAATCTGTTGTGGAGGTACTTAGCACTTTTAGGCTTGCTTTAAGTCTTGCCTTCCAGTAAGTGATCTGGTGTGGCATTGAGCTACGTTAGATCCTTGCTCTGTGCAGTTTTCTAATCCCATCTGAGTCACAGTAATTGGCCTTTACTTCTCTGTGCTAGAGAAAAGTAATTAGCCGGACTTGCACTTCTGTTCACAGAGCACTGATATGCTCGGCAAGTGCATGGATGTGCGGGAATCGGCTGAAGACAGAGGGTTTTCTGTGATGCCCTCCATAGTCAAATGGCCTGCCAAGATTCATGTCAAAGCTTGCACATGAGAAAAAAAAAAGTTTCTGGCAATCATGGAAAATCAATTTCTTCATGAACTGTCAAGGGAGGAGAGGAGAGAACTTGAAAAGAAGTCTGACGCAAGCTCTGAAGTGAACCATTGTTATCCTCTGCATATAGAGCAGCTGGGTGCCCTCTGGTGTACTCCAATGACTGTTGCTGTTTGCAGGTGGCTGGCGAGCGATATGTGTATAAGTTCGTGTGCGAACCTGAAGCGCTCTTCTCTTTGGCATTCCCTGACAATCAGCGGCCACTGCTGAAGTCTGAATTCGATCGGCACGTGAATGAAGAAGACACTGTACCCCTGTCTCATCTGGACGAGAACACCGCCTACATGCCAGATGCAGGCTGCATCAATTCACAGCACTATAACAAAGGATACATGTATTGATCAACAACAAGGCGAATGTTGGGTTTTTAATCTCTCTAATTGCACTGCAACAACTATTAGAAACTGGTAGAAATTATGTTAGAATCTGTTGCTTTAAACATACGAATATCAAATAACTGGGGATATAAAGTCATTGTGTATATGATTTTTAGAGGATTGGTTTGTCTATTTCTTTTCTTGCATATGTCTCACCCAATACATATACACATTGTGCAAGGCTCTTTTGTAGTTTAAGGCAGGGCTTTTTAAAAAAAATCTCATTATTCCCCAATAAGCATCAAATTGATCAAGCCCCAACATGTATTTTATTTGTTCTCAATTTTTTATTGAAAACTGCTATTTTGTGCTTTTTTTTAATTGAGTTTCATTACAAGAGTTTTGTTGTAAAATCTACCAGAACATTTTCAGAAATTTACCCAACATTCAAAGGCTCATGTCTGCTGAATGAACAGATATTCCTTGTTTTCTGACTTTAGTCTGTTTCTCTCCCCCTCTACAGTTGGGACATCTTTGCTTTCTTGCCTCTTTAACTTCTAAGTTTTGTGTTTAATCAGCATTGGTTAACGCCATTTGAGGTCTCCTACTGTAGACTGTGTTTCTGTTTAGCAGAGTAAGACAGTTATTGCAGTAAACAAAAAATCGTAAAAATTGTAATTTGGATATGAATTAAGCAAAGTAGAAAATCACCACATGAGTAAAATGAAAATTAAATAATCTGAATTAAGCAAAATTGAATAGAGGAGTAATGGCAAAGAAATCCAGAAAAATTGGAAGTGAAATTGCAAAACCCAATATTTACTTGTAAAACAAGCATGATATTTTGTTCCACAACACACTAAAGCATAAAATGCATTAAATCACTTCCTTTCAGATACAATTCCATATTCAAACCTAATCTTGAATCGAGTCCATGCTCTGACTAATCAGCTGACTGGTGGTTAGTTTGCTTCACTGCAGACGGAAAAGGTGAATCGAATCTTTGTCATGAAAACACCTTTTTAAAGTGGGGGAGAAGAGTTCTCTTTGAAATGGGATAATCCTGCTTCAGAATCCAGCAGCGTGCAGTATAAATATCAGGCACTTGTAATAGCAGTGTACAATCCACATCAAATCTATGGAGAGGGCATGGATTGTAACTTTGTCACTTCTATTAGGGATTATCATGTAACTGTACATTTAGACATTTTATTATTACTCAAGTATGAGTTTGGGATATGGAAGTAAATGATCCGAGTGACAAATTACTGAAAGTTACATTTCAGATTAATCGGTTGGGGAAATAAATTCTCATTCCAGGAATTAGTGGAATCCAGACAAAAACCTAAACTTTGCTATCTGTATTCTGCCTCAACCATTTCTAAAATATCTGCATTCTGTATCTAGTTCCCAGTGAGCACATGCTCGCAACACAAAACCAACAAAACTTTGCACCAGTGAACAGTCTCTGAGAGCTGACTAGATTAGAAATGACAACGATGACATTTCTCTGTAATTAGAATTAGCCCCCAGTTGGAGGTAATTTTTCTCAAGTATGCAATGACCCAGCACTAGATTTGGAATATACCCCTCCCAATGAATGCAGGGGAACTGGTGGGAGGAGCAGATAATTGAGTGGCATCAAAGATATACCTGTCCCTTTCCTCCCACCAGAGAAATTACATTTTGTTCAACCTTCATGCCTCAGCACTCAATGAGGGACTTAGGCAATTAATCAATGACCACTCGAGGGTCTCATCTGGCATAGGCTGCCATTACTTAGCTGCATTTGGAATGTGAAGGGGTCAGCCTATCAGAAAGGTAAATCCCTGTCTGTCAGTTTGTTTGGGAGGGGGTGGTTTGTGCTAATTTGTGCAAGACCTAGGGTAGGACATTGTCCTCCAGGAGGATCTCTCAAGCAGCCCCTAACTTTGAGTGGTGATCCTGCGTTTGCCTGTCTAGCTGGTGGGCCAAGATCTCTCGTTCTGGGTTTGTAATTCAATGATTATCAGTGAGCTTCCCAATCAGGCATGCATTCTATCCAAGGTCAGCTATGGACTTCTCTCCAGGAAAATTGTCCGCTTTTGAGCTTTGTCTGTAAATGGGAAAATTCTACCTCGGGTGTTGGAAACAGACAATGTTTCATTCCTCTTAAACCCTTTTACCTTGATCAGCATTCAATCCAATACATTCCTGGACGTGATCATTGCTATCTTGCCAGCTCAGGTTGTGCTTTTGTTTGGCTTAAACCCAAATCAGTTTGTCCACCTGCCTGTGCCTGCAGGTTTTGGGAGGTATTACTCATTAAAGAGTTTCTCACAGATTATTTATATCACACTCCCTGTATCATAGCCTTGTATTTCCAGCATGTGCCCCCATGGTAGAAATAAACTAAACATGAAATTGAGAAGTACAAATGGATCATTTACAGTACCCCGATGCAATTAGTTGATATTAGTGTAAGGAACAAAATTAAGAGGAATAAAACTCCACCAGTCATGTATTATTAAGTGAAAATAAGGAATAAATGCCTTGCCAGCCAGTTTAGAGTCTGTACCAGGACTTGTTTAAGTCTTTTATTTACTCACAGGTATTAAGGCTCATCATGTTAATACGGCGGTGGCATAATCTCAGTGAAGTGATGATTAAATTGCATGTGGAGTACTAGGTGCCTCTGTGGCAGAGGAACAGTAAAAGCTACCTCTCGTGTTGACCAGTTGCTATACTGATATGTAAAATATTCATGATGTATTTTAGGTTCACTACTTAAGTCGTAGAAATGTACTAATCGCTTTTGGCCTGTCCCGCAATGACCACATTAGTTGAAACTAAGCTGGTCAATTGTTGCTTTTGTCCTGTTTCCTTAAGACACTCAGCTGGTCTGAAGGAAAAATGGCCTAGTATGGTCAAACGCTTTTAAGGGTAGTCATGAGCCATAACTTTTGCTGATATTTGTAGGAATAAGAACTTTGCAAGGAAGCATGGTATTTATAATGCATGGTTAAAAGACTCATATTATCCAACAGAAGTTGCCATTTTGGACAAGTTCTAAGCATGTTGCACCTGAAATATGCAAGTTTGGGACAATCAATAATTTCAAAATTTCCTTTAAAAATACGTTTATAAAATTAGTGTATGAATCAATTTTCATTTGTTTTGAGGTCCAGATTGAGATCATTTACTTTGCTGTCATCCTGTAAACAGCAAGGTGAGCAAGTAGGTTGCACATTGCCACTACAAATGCAATATCATTGTATTCTGTGCAATGGGTGTTTTATTTTACTTTAAGCTTTTATAAGTTACCGTAATCTTTGCTGACAGATGTGTCTGTTAGATGATGCTGTCTGGTAGTTTATCCTGGGTGTGCTGGCTGAAGGTTGATACCAAGGAGTGGATGCACATCACGAAATTCTTGAACAAAAGAGGATCAAGTTTAAAACACACAGGTTTCTAACCTTGATTTTGCTCTCCTACTGAAAGCATCGATTGCCTGGGTACAATTCAATGATACTAGACCCATATTGGCATATCTTCATGTATACATTTAGGCAATGAGTGTGGGTAGTCCATTTGATATTGAGGTGCATTACTGTCCAGAATAGCCATGTCCATATACAGCTCCCTGCTGGTTTGGGTCACTACTCTAGAATACTGTTGTAAATGTAGAAAATAGAACAAGAGTAGGCCATTCAGCCCATACAGCATGCTCTACCGTTCAATGTGATCATAGTTGATCCTCTAACTCAATGCCATATTCCCAATTTCTTCCTGTAAAATCTAAAAGGAATCTGTATCTTTCTTAAATATTAGTGACTTGGCCTCCACAACGTTCTGTGGTAGAGAATTCTACAGGTTCACTACCCTTTGAGTGAAGAAATGTTTCCCAATCTCAGTCCTAAATGGTCTACTTGACACTGTGACCACTGGTTCAATACTCGCCGACCAGGGAAAACATCCTCCCCACATCTAGCCACTCCAGCCCTGTTGGAATTTTATGTGTTTCAATCAGATGCCCTCTCATCTTTCTAAATGCATGTGAGCACAGGCCTGGTAGAACCAATCTTTCCTTATAGGACAACCTGCTATCCCTGGTATCAGCCTAGTAAACTCCACTCCACCCCTCCTATGGCAAGTATATCCTTTCTTAGGTAGGGAGACCAAAATGCAAACACTCGACAAACTGAAATTCAAAGTTTCTAGCATCTTGTGTTGCCACGGTTCAGTTATATTCTGTTTTTGCCAACTCTGGCATTGGGAAAGCTATCTCCTGCTTTCTGCACAGCCAGATAAATGACAGTACAGAGTATTAATGAAAAACAAACCACCGGTAACCTCCAACTGTAGCACTCACAGTGAGTGTGCAGATGCACCGAATGATGTGGTTTCTTCTTCAATAACTAACTATTCAAAGCGTCTTTATCCAGCATGTAGTGAATGCTTTATATTGAATCTGACAGTAGATCCAACAGGGACTTGAGAGAAATAAGTGGGCAGCACTGGGATATAAAACCAAAGTTACCAGGATCTGGCGGCTGAACACTCAACTCAATGCTTGGATCAAATTTTGTCCAGGGAACACAGTTGTCAATTGTAAAACTCACAAGCAGCTGAACAGTCGGCCACATACAACTGAGAAGTCCATAAATAGCTATCAATTTCTTTTACCCCAATCCCACCCTTTCCCAATACCACCCTAGCTGCATTTATTGCTGATGCAGTTTTCAGAAAATGCCTACGATGGCTCAGTGGGTCCATGATAAAGTAGCTGAGCCACTTGCATTGGGTTTTTACCCCTGAATTATGTTGGATTAGCTAATCTCATCCAGAACATGTGTAGCAAAGTACACAAACTTCTTCTTCACAGGATTAAGAAGCAGGGAGAGTGGAGGGAAGATCCAGAGTTTTCTCCCTCTGCTTGTTATCCAGTGGTTCTTGCTGGATATGCCTGTGCAAGTATTGGATGTATGTCTCCCCTCTACAGTTCAATATCTTGCAACTCTTGGTCGAAGCTCACACACACAAATAAGGACCTGTGGAACAGTGCGTCAGCAATAAATCAATATACCTTCAGGAAGAGAGATGAGGAATTTGGTCAGCAAAATAACATTAGTTTATGTTGAGCAAGAATCATTTTTTAGCACTACTTAAGGAAAATGGCATCAATTATCACAGCAATCAGTGATTATGTAGCATTGTACATATTGCAGATGTTGATCTCAATTGTCACAGTTTGTATAGTTGTTATGGGAAATGGGGCTTTTTTCTAGAAAAAAATGTCTTTTCAAGGGAATGATTGGTGCTGGGGTTGAGAGCTATCTTTTGGTTTCCGACATCTAAGCCCTCCTTTTATTTGCACCCAGGATCCAACTGCATTCCAGGATAGGTTCAAAGCCTCTCTGTTCACTTGTGTACAAAATGAGCTTCAATCTTTCTGTCAATCAGCAGAGTTCACAAGTTAGCAATTTTACTCACAGGAACTATTATGTTATCCAAAGTGGGCACGATTAATATAGTGGAGTGCAGTGACAGTTACCATTCCGAGGTTGAAGCTAGTAGGAGCTTGGAACCACATCTCTCTGTGTAGTATCCTCATCCAGAGTGCTCTTAACTGCCATTTAAGTTCAGGCAGGAAAGTGGCTGTACTTCAGTGCTGTTATCCCCATCCCGATTCAACTAATCTACAAGGTCTGTTTACATCAATTTTCAATTGATGTATTTTAATGATAGGATGAGCCTAAGATTTACTGTACCATTGTTATTTCTTTTATTGAATAGCTTGACAAAATAAAGTGATCATGCATTTGTAAATAATGTAATCTGTTTTTCAAGGATTTTTGCATAAAATAGTTGAATAATGAATTAGCTACGAATGTCGTAGTTGCAATTCATTTGTAAATGAACATTAATCAATAAATTGAAACCATTATACACTCTGTCATTACCAGTTTAACTAGCCTTTTTTAAAGGCATTCTTCAAGCATCTAATTTCTGGTTTATCAATCAGATAGTTTGGGGTTTATATTCATTGAATATCAAATATTTGACAGCAATTCATAGACAATAACTTCATTTGAAATGTGTAGCATTTTATCATGTAAATAAAGTCTTCCAAAACAGACAGCTAAGCAAAATACAAATTACTTTGGAGAAAATAATCCCCATAATATGGGGGAGCATTTCCAACTCCTCAAATAATGACAACCAATCTGAATCATCATCGGAATAGTCAGAAAGGCCTTCTCTCTGAAATCAAGAACCTCTAAATATCCTCCGATATTTATGGGTATAACTGAATTATAGATAAAAATGTCGATTTTGTGTACTTTACATATATTCATTCCCAGGATATGGGGCATCACTGGTTATACCAGTGTTCATTGACTTCCTATTGGACTGACTGGTTTGCTAGAAAAACCATTCAAGAGATCAGCCAAGAGCCAACCATGTTGCTGTGGGTCTGGAGTCCTCTCAACTCGGTAAGAATGGTAGATTTCATCCCTGAAGTACATTAGTGAGCTAGGTAGGTTTTACCAATTTTCCAATTGTTTCACAGTCGCTATTCCTGAAAGGAGATTTTTATCCCAGAGTTATTTATTTCACTAAATTTATCTCTTCCAACTGTTTTGGCCAGATTTGGCAAACACATATCTCTGGATCATTAGTCCAGGCCCCTTAATTACTACTCCAGGAACATCCGCTCTGCTACTGTATCCTAGAGTTTAATATTGGCAATTTTTCTCAAAGTAGGCATTTTTCATCTGGTAAGTTTTTTTTTGTTAGGATTTTTTTTCCATTTATCACTTCCCTTCTATCTTATTTTATATCCTTTTCAAGTTTCTCACGTTGTCCTTTGCTGCTGTTCTCTTCCCCTTCCCATCTCCTGATGCCTTCCATGTTTTATCTGTTGACTCAAATAAGTTCACATATGCCAGCTGTGTTATACAACCATCGTTCACGCTCAACCTACACAGTAAATATTAGCAAGCTATTTGATATGAAGCACACCTTAGTTGACCGTTCCAATGCTGTCCCGGCAAGTTTCCAATCTCTCACCTTTGAGAAACTTGAACTTATTCAAAACTCTGTTGTTCGTATCCTAATATGCACCAAATCCTGTTTACTTGTCACCCCAGTGCTCACTGATTTACATTGCCTACTGCTCTGGCAACACCTCAATTCCAATGCCTTTGTGGCCTCACCTCTCTTATGATATGGTTTGATGCCACATTACGAGTTTGAGTTCAAGACAGACAGGTCGAAGGGAAGTCAAAGCAAAGAACTGCTTTCAGGCTTAGACTTAAAAAAGACACAATTATTAATTAATACTAAATACTGCCATACGTGGTAATTATAGATAAACCAGGTTCTGACTTATAGATTTGTCTTTAACTGATGTAACTATCTTCTTTGATCATATGTTCTTAATACATTCTTATCCTCGAGTGTTCTAACACCACTCATACTGTGCTATTTTTATGCTAGGATTTACTGTTTTGTGATATAATCACAAGCCTGTTCCAGGGACCCGAAGCCCTGACATAGCAGCCCCATCTCTATCTGTGAATCTCTTTCAGGCCTACACAGATAGCTTTCTGGTCTCTTCCAATTCTAGCCTGTTCTAGATCCTCATTATTTCCAGAAAGCATTTGGTAAAATGCTACATCATGGGTTATTGCAGGAAATAAAAGCCCATGTGGCAGAGTGTGCACCTAGATAGAAAATTGGCTCACTAACTGGAAGCCGAGAGCAGGAATAAACAGTGCTAGAACTTCAACTGTTTGAAATTTCAATAAATGACTGATGAAGTGACGAAAGATTTGAATGCCAAATTTCTCGATGACACAACAATTGATAGGAAAGTAAGTAGCTATAAGGACATAAGGAGTCTACAAAAAGATATCGATAAGTTACATGCATGGGAAAGTTCTGGCAAATGGAATATGATGTGGAAAATGTGAAATTGTCCAATTTGGCTGGGAGAATTAAAAAAGCGTTTTATCTAAAGGGTGAGATTGCAGAGCTCTGAGATGGAGGGATTTGGGTGTTCTAATGAATGAATCAGAAAACGTTGTAATGCAGGTACAGCAAGTAATTAGGAAAGCTGACCGAATGGTATCATTTATTAGAAGGGGAATTGGAAACAAAAGTAGAGAGGTTATGCTTCAGTTTTACAGGACACTGGTGAGACCACAACTGAAGTACTGTGCATGGTACAGGTCATCTTATTTATGGAAGGTTACATCTGCAGACGTTCAGAGAAAATTTACCTAACCAGTACCTGGAGGAGGCAGAGATAACAAGGTGTAGAGCTGGCTGAACACAGCAGGCCAAGCAGCATCAGTGGAGCAGGAAAGCTGACGTTTCGGGTCTGGACCCTTCTTAAGAAATTTCTGATGCTGCCTGGCCTGTTGGATTCATCTAGCTCTACACCTTATTATCTCAGATTCTCCAGCATCTGCAGTTCCCCAATATCCCTGGAGGAGGCAGGTTGTCTTATGAGGAAAGATTGAACAGGCTCCACTTGTATCTGCCTAATTTTACAAGGGTAGGAAGTGATTTCTTAGAAACATATAAGATTCTGAGGGATCTTGACATCGTAGATGTGGAGAGGATGCTTCTTCTTGTGGGAGAAACTAGAATGAAGGTCTACTGCTTGAAAATCAGTGATCGCCCATTTAAAACAGATGAGAAAAAGAAAAATGTTCCTCTTTGGAACTCTTTACCCAAAAAGGTAGTAGAAGCAGAGTCCTTGAGTATTTTTATGGTGGAGGTTGATAGGTTCTTGTTGAGTAAGGGGGTGAAAGTTATCAGTGAGAGGTGCAGATGCAAATTTAAAGTCACAATCAAAGTTGTGATTGCTGACACTGATGTCTGTGTACCCTGCGCCACTTTGAATCACATGTGCACAGATCTTGGTGGGATACAGCCAGAGTTAGTGGGTGGGTTGGGGGGGAGATCAGGAGGACCAGGGGAAGGGGGAGTAGCGGGGAAATCAGGGATTCTGGGAGAGAACCCAGGGAAGGTTTGGGGAGAGGTAAGGGAGAGATGGGATGAGAAGGAGGGATCAGGAGTTGGGGAGAGCATAGAGAGGGAGACAGACAGGTAGAGGGCCTTGCTGCCCCTGAGCTCTCCTTGTCGATACACCATCCCTAGCTGCTGGACTCTTCTTCTCACAATGGGAATTCCCCACCACCTCCCTCCCAAACCCAGCATCCCTCTCCCCACCACTGAAACCCACTTCAAAATTGGGTGCCCTTCCCTGTGCATGCACAGAAATGCATTTGCAGATGATGACACAAGTAATGTGTATGTCAGTGCTTGGAACCATGCATTCCCCAGTGAGCACGCACGTGCACTGTTGTCTACAGTTGCCAATGTCAGCAATCACTCCCTACAATCCAATCAGCCATAATCTCAATAGTCAATGGCCCATTCCTACTCCTTGTTCATGTGTTTCTATGATTATGATCACTCTGGCGGACACATTGTTAGCTGCCTATACTCTAAAATCAAACCTTGCTTCTCTAAACACCTCTACCTCTTTCATTCTTACTCTTTGTCATGTAAATCTGTGTCAAATTCTGCTTAATAATACTTCTGTGAAGTGCCTCGGGCCAATGCTATATTAAAGATGCACATTAATGTCTTTAATCCTCACTCTACAAACAAAAGTGCAAAGGCCATGGAAGCACGACGGTGAGGGGGAAGGACCATAACTTTTTCCCTGCCTAGGAAGGTAGGCTTGTCATAGCCCTAGGTGATATCAGCTAATTCAGCAGAACCCAGTAATCGAGCTTCTCTGAATGATATAAACTCGCACCATATCTTTACTAGGACACTGGAATTAATGTAAATCATTGTCTAACAACACTTCCACTCTAAAAAGGGTTTTTGCGTAACCTTTTTTCTCCAAATATATTGGAAGCAATTCCATGGTCCCAGCCACAGCAGTGACCTCAGGTAGTCCACACCCTTGATTTCCCACAATGCAAACCTTGTGAGAGTGAAGGTGTGAAATTAGAAATGAAAATAGGAAAAATAAACAGTTAACGCATCAGATATGTGGCCTTTCATGAGAAGTAAGAAAAGTTAGAAACATAAGAGGTTTCAGTGTGAAAGGGTAGAGACTAAATGGCAAAATCTTCCATGGTTCAAAGCCAAAGGGAGTGAAAGATGTTTCTGGAGGTGATGTGAATGGCAGAATAACAGCAATCCAAATGCATAGAAACACAGAAAATAGGAGTAGGAAAAGGCTATTCGGTCTTTGAGACTGCTTTGCCCTTTGATATGATCATGGCTCATCATTCAACTCAGTACTCTGTTCCTGTTTTCTTCCCATGCCATTTGATTCTTTTAACCTGAAGAACTATGGGCAGCATGGTGGCTCAGTGGTTAGCACTGTTGCCTCAAAGTGCCAGGGACCCTGGTTCAATTCCAGCCTTGGGCAGCTGTCTGTGTGGAGTTTGCATATTCTCCCCCTGTCTGCATGGGTTTTCTCCCACAGTCAAAAGGTGTGCAGGTTAGGTGGACAGGGGGTCAGGTCTGTGTGGACTCAATGGGCTGAATGGCCTGCTTCCACACTGTAGGGATTCTATGATCTAACTCCTCCTAGAAAATATTCAGCTATTTTCTGTGGCAGGGAATTCTCTGGGTGAAGAAATTTCTTCTCTTCTCAGCCCTACCCCACATCCTTAAACTATGACCTCTGGTTCTGTAATCTCTAGTCATCAGGAGGATCCTTTTTTGTGTTTACCCTGCCAAGTCCTGTTGGAATTTTATAGTTCTCTATGAGGTCCCCCTCCATTCTTCTAAACTCTAGTGAATATAGTCCTAATCAATCCAATCTTTCATCATACACAAAATCCCTACTATGTGGAAGCAGGCCATTTGGCCCATCAAGTCACTGACCTTCCAAGCAGCATCCCACCCAGCAACCCT